TCTTATGTGTGTGTCATATGTGTGTCTGTGTCGTATATATGTGTGTATGTATACAAGATACATTTTTTTGTATGTATGTATATGTATATATATCAGTTTTAGAATTAAAAAGAACTGTAGCTGAATTACATTTATTTGTCTGTGTAATACTAGCATTGCTATAGCACTGGGGCTTCAAACACAATTCTGCCTTCAATATATTTGCACTCATAACTATTCAGATCTATATACTAACAGGGTTATTCAAAGCTCTTAAAAAAAGCTAAATCACAAAAAAGTAAAAAATAAAAAATAAATAAAAAAAAGCAGAGATGCAATAAAAATAACTTCTTCTTTGAACAGGCACAAATTTCCATGCTATACTATGAAGGCCTGTGATTGGTTGACTTGCAAGCCAACCAGAGTGCCCTCATGAGAATGATAAGCATGGGAAAGCCTTTATAAAGGATTTTTCTGCTTTGACGCTTCCTTTAATGCGGAGCCTTTTGTCAGGCTTTTTTCATTTTTCCTTTTCAAAAGATGATCCACAGTCACTGGTTTTAAACATCTCCCCACCTACCTCATGGCAAATGCAGGCAAAGCAAGGCTCTAAACTTTCATTATAGTCATATGGAGGTATTAGTTACCCCCATAGGGTTTTTATAACATTAAAAAAACAAGCTTTTTAATATGATGACTGGCTAGTAAACGCTAGCACTGCTGAGGCTTATTTAACTATTTAAAAGGACGCTATAGTCACCTGAACAACTTTTGCTTAAATAAGCAGTTTTGGTGTATAGAACATGCCCCTGCAGCCTCACTGCTCAATCCTCTGCCATTTAGGAGTTAAATCTCTTTGTTTATGAACCCTAGTCACACCTCCCTGCATGTGACTTGCACAGCCTTCCATAAACACTTCCTGTAAAGAGAGCCCTATTTAGGCTTTCTTTAATGCAAGTTCTGTTTAATTAAGATTTTCTTATCCCCTGCTATGTTAATAGCTTGCTAGACCCTGCAAGACCCTCCTGTATGTGATTAAAGTTCAATTTAGAGATTGAGATACAATTATTTAAGGTAAATTACATCTGTTTGAAAATAAAACCAGTTTGGAGGTGTGGCTAGGGCTGCATAAACAGAAACAAAGTGATTTAACTCCTAAATGACTGTGAATTGAGCAGTGAAATTGCAGGGGAATGATCTATACACTAAAACTGCTTTATTTAGCTAAAGTAATTTAGGTGACTATAGTGTTCCTTTAACTAAATAGCATTTAAAATTATCATTTGCTTTAAAAAAATAAGTGAACGATAATTTGCGAATGTGCATCCTACGGGTGCTTTGTGAATATTCTGAACCTATATTTTGTGTAGAATTTGGATGTGAAAGCACAGATTTTAATTCAAACACCGAATGCATCCATGCGATTGGTGCAAATCCTGTCGGCCCGAACAGATTCTGATTGGAATTTGCTTTAGTAAATATGAGAATTGCCATAGTGGTCGGAATTTTCCAATTTATTATTTTGTGAGTAATCCTAAGTGGTTGGTCTGGGCAATGTGCGTATATATTACATATAGAAAAAAAACATAGAAAATAAAGATATATGGAGTTGTAAGGAGTGAAACTATTTTTGTATTGTTTGACTTCTTACCCGAGGTTTCAGCCAGATTTTACTACTTAAAATAGCACTTCTGACGCCGTACCCTCCACATTGAGATGTAGTGGTTATGGTGTGTTCCTTTAATATCTTTATTTCATTTAAAAAATCTTACTGTGATGCAATCTAATTCTTCAACGTGTTTAAAGGTTATAGCCACACCATCTATATTCATAGCGCACATATCTAAGAGTTCCTGATCCTGTCCGAATATGTTTTGTTTTGTGTTAGTAAAGCAATATCTAGTACTAAAGACTCTTTTTCAAATTATCTCTTACTTATTCCTGTCCTTCTGCAACAACAGTCCCTAAACCTCTAAATGAAGTCTCACTAGTGTTAGATAAAATGGCATTAGTTCTTTGATAGTGCTACATATTACAAACCGATGCATCGCTCACTTCCCTGGAAAAGAGTTACATTTATACTGATAGCTCCCAAAGGTTAAATTAAATAGAAAGTACTCTACTCATCATTCACGCCTTATGGCACGCATACTTAAAACTACAATTTATAAAAATCCAGAAAGACAAATGTTTGTATTACCAAAGTGAAATTGAAGAACTGAATGTACGCACTAGTAACAAAACAAACCCACATTGCTAAGTGATATTTTTGTAATAAATTGTTTATCTTCAATAATTTGCTAAATAATATGATAACTATTGACAATAAATAATATAATACGTATTGATTAGAGAAAATAGGTTAGGCGACTACATTATGTTGTAAATGTCACAAAAAAAAATTTGATGCACTCAGTAATAGTTTAGATAAATAGATTAAATAGATCCAGTAAAGATAATAGTTAGACATAAACTAAGTAGGTGGAATCATTATATACAGCTTCTACCTTGTTATCCATTTCTTTATGTGGATTACTGGTCTTTAGAGGTAGTTAGGCTTAGTGCGGTGACTATAGTAAGGCAGAATATGGTAGCTTGTGAAGAGGTACTCAGAATACGAGCCAAGGTAAAGCGTTACAGAAATTAGAACGCTGTGGATATAAGAAGATGCATGGGTACCAGAATACAGGATAAACTCAGGACAAGCCAGAATTGAAATAAAGGCCATGGAAACAAAAATGGCAAATGTTCCTTTAGTGGATGTGGATTGAAATACTCACCTGTGTAGTCACTGATTGTTGTCAATTTGGGTTAAAATACCCAACTGTATAGTCACTGAATATTGTCATTTTGACGGTGACATAATATTCTAATATACATATCTGGCTGAGGTCCATCATGGCAAAATTGATGTAGGCTCGATATACTTTGAGGCATACTAATGGTTTGGGACCATTCTGTTCTTGGCATGTTGTCTCCAGTGTGTGAATTCATGGATATGGGGTTACACACAAAGGAAAACCATAGTTATTTTTCAGTTACTATCCTAAGTTTGTATAACTTTGCAGATTTTACAACACTGAATACATTAGATGCACTGTTTTAAATACAGTAGTATCAATATATGTATATTAATATTTGATCAGTGATTATACTAATACCGTAGGGTTTGCCCGGTCTACAAGTTCACAATGAACAAAAAAAGAGAGTAAAAATAGGAATGTCTGGATACATTGATGGAATGAGTGATACAATGTATATGTTAGTGAATGCTAGAACAACATTTGATAAATATCGTAACTGAGAAAATGATGAAGATTGAATGCAGGTTACTTATTTTAATATAAGTGGACTATGCGTAGAGCACTGTGTGCTGAATATTCTTTGGAAATAAATGGTGATATGTAGGAAAGAACAATGTCATAACAAGGTTTTATATGCCCAGACCTTGCGTTTAAATCATAATTTAATTCTTGATGGAATTGGATGACAGGAGATGGACCGGTAAAGTGGGCAGCAAATTAGGAATGATGTGTAAAAGAGAGGAAGCTAGTAAAAGCATTCTAGAGATAGATTGCAGTTGAGACAACTGAGTGAACTCAATGGTGGTCAGGCATAGTACTGCTATGAAAACATGTTTAAAATGAGAAGACTTGAGGATCAAAGATTGAACCTTGTCGGTATGCAGATAGAGAGATGACGCATGAGAAGAGAGTGGAATAAGATGGTATGTATTAAAGAGGAACAGTCACTTCTCTGGAATTTGCACCATTCAATAAAACATTGAAAATCACCTATAACTTATGTTAATCCTGTTTTTATGATATGTTGTTGTGTTTTCTTTTAAATGTATATTAAAGGCTTAATAATTATTATTATTATTATTATTATTATTATGATATTTATTCCGCAGCGCTTTACAATGGGTGGACAAACAGACATGTAGTTGTAACCAGACAAGTTGGACACACAGGAACAGAGGGGTTGAGGGCCCTGCTCAATGAGCTTACATGCTAGAGGGAGTTGGTAAAATGACACAAAAACGTAAGGATAGTATTAGACTAATGACAGTTGCAGAAGAGGAATCAGTTAGGAGCTATTAACAGTTTAATGGATACGCTTTTATGAAGAAGTGGGTTTTTAACGATTTTTTGAAGGAGTGGAGACTGGGTGAGCATCTAACGGAGGAGGGAAGCGAGTTCCACAGGAACGGTGCAGCCCTCGAGAAATCTTGAAGGAGAGCATCAGAGGTGGGAGTACGGACAGAAGATAGACGTAAGTCTTCATCACAAATTACATCACAATACAGCCCAGGCATAGCCAGGGCACACAATGCAAATGAGTAGGAGAAATGGAAACATTGTTTTATTTTTCTTCATCTCAGGACAGAGTTTATAACAATGCAAAGGACAGAACTTATAACAACAACAAACATGGAGGCATGTATTTCCAGGATGAAAAATGTGTGAATGTGGGGGGGCGGGGCCTGACCGCCATGCTAAACGGTCGCACATGGAGTGAGCTCCCGGCAAAACTATAGAAACCAGCAAATAAATCATCTCCATACCTGAACAAACTTGACTACTCCTGTTGGAGACACTCTACGACACACTTCGCAGCATCTAACCAAACTACTGGTGGTCTTACCCCGGCGCATCTCCGAGATTCCTCTGTTGGGGCAGCCGTGGAGAAACGGCCGTCCTCCCCGCTGATCATCCTGCCGTGGCGAGGAGAGGTGTTCAGGCTCCCTGTTCCCCCCTGCCGGTGAGGGACATCCCAACTCAAGCTCGTCGGCCCATCAAATTGAGGGGGCATACACGACCCTGCAGAAGCCCCCACACTCTGAGGCCTCCCAATCAGACGCACCATGTGAAGGGAGCCTGGAAACTACTATGAGGCGCCTGAACGAAATCTTTGCCAACTTCTGTCTCAAACTCGCTGACAGGCACAAGGAACGCGAGGTGAGGGGACAGAGCGACAGCTCATCACAAGGCTCACACCCTAATACCCATCGACCCACTATGCATGTATCCTCCACACCATGCAACTTACACCGAAATCGACCCACTGGCACTTACCGGAGACCAAAGAAGACCAAAACTCAGAGCCGCAACCCTGGGCAGAGAACCGCAAGGGAGAGCGTCCCGGCGCACACCTTGCACCTCCAGAGGAAGAAGCCCCAAGATCAAGCTGGCACTGCACCGCACCGCGACACCGGTAGTGAAGCTACCGAAGCTGAACCGACAAGAACCAGACCCAGACTCAAGCATGGGGTAGAAGGCACGACAAGCTCTGAACCAAAGCAGCGAGCCTGCAAAATCAAGCTAGGTGGGACTGTGAAATACCTGTGAAGGGGATAGGCTGATGGCATTATATTTTAGTGCAGGAGGTGTACGCTGTTGACCCAGCTCCCCTTAGCTACCAATCTCTATGTTTCTGTTGCTGGACTTGTTATGCCACCAGTGTTCCTCTCCTTAATAATTAACTGCCTACTAGATACAGCCTATTAATACACAGTATACCCGTGTTCCTTTTATTATCCATGTCTAGCCTGTCATGCCAAGGAAATAATAAGCTAATACTCACCATGTCTATAGTTCTTATCAGTTAGACTATTCTGCATTTGCCCATCATTTAGACAGGATTGCTCACCCTGCTTACTATGTCACGATTTTCTTTTTTAAGTGTTTACTGCAAAGTATTGCTTAGTGTGCTACCTACACTTAATCATCTACTACAGAGCCTGTTATTTCTGAGAGCGGAGCATACTATTGTCAAGCATATTTTTTATTCTTATAGTTACTCATGTTATCGAGAGCCACTTCGCCATAGTTGTTTAAAGATAGTTATCCAGAGCAAGCCTCTGATACTTAACTCATGATGTTGTCTTATCTACTTTTAAAACTTTGTGCACATGATGTGAATGTCGCACATTTGTTTTGCTTGTACACAATGGAGCTTATTGTTGCTATTGTGGCACTATGATCGTTTATGTATTTTGATGCACAACAAAAATAAAGAATTTATAAAAAAAGTGTGAATATGAATATTTTTTCACATCTCACAAATACATACTTGTTAAATATAGGGATCAATAACCATAACATTTTAAATCCCGATAAATAACAATTTTTCCTTTTAACTGCTGCCCCTAACAGGCAATAAATTATGACGCTAAAGATTCTCAACGATAATATTTGGTGTGTCAGAAAAATAAATAACTAATAAATTGTAAAAATAATAAAAAATAGTATTAAAAATAATAAAAAAAATTGCATATATAAATTATCAGTATACATAATGGATTTTATAACTGACACAATGCTTATATTAGACAGAGAGACAGGCAGACATAGATTTATACATCAAAACATGTACTAGGAACTGTACCAAGAGGAACTGGTGTAGCCATGCAAAAGAGTATCATACTATCTGAATCACTGTCAGTTCTGTAAACATCTATAATACATAAGGGAATCCTATCAGCAGAAAGTAAATTGTTTGGAAGTATATTGTAGAAATTCCCATGCTCTTAAATAAAAACAAAGCGAAAGGGATATTTACAGTAAGATCAGTTCACTTACAGGTCGAGCCCCTAACACGTCAAAAAGTTAAGCAAGTTATGAAGTGTCTGCGAAATGACCTCTTACTATATCAGCAGTTGATGGATATGGTCAAAAATACTTTTTCCATTAAATATTAAGTAAAGATGTTTCAAGCCTACATCAAAGTGCACAGATTTGCAATCTAGGAGACCAGTCACTTCCTAGAATTTTTTATATTATGTTTGCTTATCTCATTTAATTAATAAACATGTGTTAGTGAGGTCAAAAAAATAAAATTAAATGTAGAAATTCACCCTACCATATTTACCTCTATACTAGAAGAAATTTCATTGTGGCTTCCTGTCAATCATTATAGTAAGTTCTGTTCTTCGAATACATCAGTCACCATAGAGAGAACACATAGGAAAATGGATGATGTCACCAGTAGAATGTACTTACTGGTTCCACTAGTTTCCAAGGCGACTGCCCCACTTCCAGTACTTTATACCACTTTGCAGAACAGGAATTTTTATGCATAGCCCCCAATGTATCTATATCTCTGTAGGCAGTATATTGAGTGCCTTGGCTGTGCCTTGATTGAACTGGCTAGTGATATTATATACATAAAAAAATAAAATCCCAAAAAACAGAGCATGACATGGAAAAAGGTTGACAGATCTTAGAGGTGATTTCTAAAATGTTATGAACTGAACTTTTTCGTGACAATTTAAGCAGGATGAAATTTTTCATCAGTATATGATAACATTTCAGGACCGTATTTAACAAAAGCTCTGTTCGATAAAGTTGTTAAATTCAACTGCCACCACAAGTTGCGAGTGATATTAACCTTTTTACCAAACACTAAATTGAGGTACATAACGATGTCTTGCAATTTACTGACTGCTATAGTAAGAAAATATTATTTACATTTATTTAGTGTGTCTGATATGACTGACTGGCATTTAATCAAATTTTCGCTGTGCTATAGTTTTTTGTTGTCTGAGGTGGGGGCCATCTTTATTTTCGGTTTATTTTACTGTGAATAATGCAAGAGATGCAATTTCTGAACCACTGCACAGTTAACAGATTTTATTTTTATTTTATTTTTTTATATAGCTGTTACAGTACAGCATATTTCACTTCAAACATTCTAACCATGAAATGGTAACCTGTAACAACTGCCAGTGACTGTTACATTAAAACAATACAGATAAGAAAGTGATGATTCAGGCACCGTAGTTCTCCCCTATACTTTGCTGCAGGTCTGTTTATTCAGATCAATGAAAAACATAATGACAATCCTTCTGCCACATTTAGATAAAAAGAAAATAGGCAGCTTTACTGTTTCACAATAAGCTTTCAGGAAATGAAGAACAGATTTGAAAAAAAAAAAAGAAAAAAAAAGTTTAGGCATGCGGATATACATTACTCATTAAAACTTTGAAAACAGGTTTTTTATGGCTGTATTAGGCTTATTAACTATATAAATTTGACTGTAAACATTCAATATTTCATTACATGGCTCAGTTATATTTAGCACTTTCCATATGTTTAGCAGAATGAAACACTGAGAGGTTTTGGACAGGTTTTTATATAAAATTTATAGACTGGTCTGATGATAAAGGTTCCTATGAGAAGCAAGGAGGGCGAAAACTATTTGAGACTTTTTACTATGTCGGTAATGACCCAAATAAGAAACTGTTGTTCATTACTGCGAAATGTCTCACATTTTGTTTTTAAAGGGAAACTATAGTCACCAAAACAACATTAGCTTAATAAAGCACTTTTAGTGTATAGTTTATGCCTCTGATGTCTCACTGCTCAATTCTCTGCAATTTAGGGCTTTAATCACTTTTGGTTTTGTCCATGCAGCCCTAGCCACACCCAGTGGCGTATCCGGGGCAATGGGGAGATTGCCCCCCCCCCAAGAAAACCGACGGTCTCCCTCTCCCCTGCCAGCACATGCAGGCGCTAGCCCTACAATGTGCCTGCAGACCGGGGAGGGAGATCAGAGATCTTCCTCCCCGGTCCGCAGGCACCGTGCTGGCAGCCGGCGGGGGGAGGGAGGGAGGGAGAGAGGACCCGGGAGCTCAGCCTGCAGCTCCTCCGGTTTCCTCTTCTCGCGAGAGTGAACTCTAGCCCAGGAGCTGTGGGCTAGAGTTCACTCTCCCCACTGGGCCACCAGGGATTCCCCACTGGACCACCAGGGATCCAGAAATGTCCCCCCTCCTCCCAGTAAAGGTAAGAAGGGAGGGGGGACATAAAGTATATTAATTTTAATTAAATAAATTTAAAAAAAGCATATTATAAAAAAGCCCCCCAAAGCCTTATCACACACCCTACACACACACTGCCCCATACAAACACTGCCCCATACACACACACTGACCCATACAAACACTGCCCCCATACACACACTGCCCCCATACACACATACACTGCCCCATACACACACACTGCCCCCATACACACACACACTACCCCCCATACACACACTGCCCCATACACACACTGCCCCCAAAACACACACTGCCCCATACACACATACACTGCCCCAATACACACACACACACTGCTCCATACACACACACTGACCCCCATACACACACACTGACCCCATACACACACACACTGCCCCAGACACACATACACTGCCCCCCATACACAGCCCCCCATATACACACACACTGCCCCAGACACACATACACTGCCCCACACACACACTGCCCCCATACACACACACTGCCCCCCATATACACACACACTGCCACCATACACACATACTGCCCCCCACACACATACACTGCCCCCATACACACATTGCCCTACATATACACTGCCCCCCCATACACACATACACTGCAACTGTCACACACATACTGACCCACACATACACTGCCCCCTAACACACACACTGCACCCCTGACATACACTGCCACCCTCACTCACACACTGCAACCTTCACACACACACACTGCTCACACACTGCCCACCTCACACACACACACTGCACCCCTAACACATTGCACCACTCACACACACCACTGCTCCTATGCCATATGACAGCCCCATTTCCCAGCAGACCTCAGGTAAGTTGTCAAACTGTTCTTAAACGGTTTGACTACTTACTCTGGGAGGGGGTCCCGGCACTACTGGCACCATAACCACTTTACTGAGCTGTAGTGGTTATTGTGTCTGAATTATTTATTTAAATAATCTACAAGTGCCCCTCCCAAAATCAGGCTCTGGATCCGCCACTGGCCACACCTCCCCTGACTGTGACTCATAGAGCCTGCATTAAACAAAAAAATGATTTAATTTTCAATCAGATGTAACTGACTTTAAAAGTTATCTCCTGCTCTGTAAATTTAATTTTAATCACCCACAGGAGGCTCATGCAAGGTCTAGAAAGCTATTAACAGAGCAGGAGATAAGCAATTTCAAATTACACAGTATTTGCAGTAAAGGAAGCGTAAACATTAGATGTCTCTTTACAGGAAGTGTTTAGAAAGGCGGTGTTAGTCACATGCAAGGAGGTGTGGCTATGGCTGCATAAACAAAGTGATTTAACTCCTAAATGACAGAGAAATGATCGGCGAGACTGCAAGGGCATGGTCTATAACTAAACTGCTTCATTAAGCTAAAGTTGTTTTGGTGACCATAGTATCCATTTAATATACGAAATCACTATCAATATTTGATTGGATGAAATTTTGCTATTACAAAAGATTGTAGATAGACAGAATGTACAGCAAAAAAAAAAAAAAAAATCTTACAAAGTATATATTGAAATTTGCATTACATTT